GTGAGATACGGCGGACACGCCGAGCGCGGGAAAAGCAGCACGATCTCGTGGCCGGGAAAATTAGATTAGCGCGGCGTCCAGTAACGCGTGGAGAAATAGGGTATCGTCGCGGAGATCTTAAAAGTGTTCTGCCCTCCGCGTGGGACAAGAGTGTTTATTCTGTGTCTCGGTCGTTTTGGCGGTAGTTCGCGCTGGTCGTTTCTGAGTCGTTAAGACTGCAATCTGGCCGTGCGAACCATGACCAGCATTCCAGCAGTCTAGTTAAGTAACATGGGCATGCTAACATGAGTGACATTCCTAAACTGCCGCTGTCAGTTTGGCGTGGGTATGACAAAACCGATTTGATTTCAATTTAAATAAAATAATTCCTTTTTTGCAAGTTAAACAAACTTTCAAGTTCTTCCATAATTACAATATCATAATAGAAGTCGTCATTCATTTCCACAAAGTTTCGTATCGATCAATTTAATTTCCTGGCAGTTCATTATAGCTGCGTCGGCAACGGTACTATTGTATCTTTTGATTACTTAGTTCTGTCTTTATTCTTTGTAACATAATGCCACAGAGCTAATTAATCGAATTTAAAGAGGTTTCGTTTAATTAGGTACGAAGAAATGCACATGCTCATGCATATACAGAGTACAAAGTTATTGAATAGATTGCTTTAACAATTGATTCGCTTAGATAGTTACATCGCATCAGGTAGTACAATTGAATCAGAATTTTGCAAAACGTGTGTGGACTCCATTACCGATGAACCACTTCTGTGCACAAAGTACAATAATCTATATTGTAATCTTAGATCTACACATTTGTTCATTTAGTTTTGAAGCAATAGATTGTAAATACTAAGAACAATTCCATGTTTTTTATAATAAATACTGTGTATTATGCTTAATTTCTCAACATTAGAAAAACAAACACTTCACAAAGCGAAGGAAATCATGAGCTAATGAAGTGTATTATGATTAATTATTACAAAAGAACTATTACCCAATTATATTTAACAAAAGAGGTTTTAATAAAATTTCTCATATATCTAAATTTCCATATTCCACATTTTTTTAAAATCTGTCATGTTCCGAACAAAATGATCGTGATGGTTCACCTTCAAAACGCAACTTACAGAACACTTGTGTATGGTGGGTTGCGTCCGTGCGCCTGCCCGTGCAACTTAGACGCTCGTGCATGGAAAGCATTGACGCAGGAAGAGATTTTCTCAAGGCAAAGTACCGTTGCACTTAGATCTACCTCGAGTGATTTTATCAACGGCATTTATGCACGCGCACTATCTTCGTGCGTGAGGCAGGCCCACCGTAACATATGGGCTTCTAACTTCTACATTCCGCAATCGCTCAGTTTTCTGCCTCATTAAGTAAGCCAGGGAAAATCAACACGGGCGATCTGGCAGTCCGCGGTGCTCGCCGCATCGGTGTGAGTGGGTGTATGTGCAAGTGCGGAAAGTTATATGTGACAAAACGTGTGAGAAGTATGGAGCATGTTTATGCTGGTATTGTGTCAACTAGATTGCCTTTTCACAATATCGTCGTTACCATTAGAAAGTTGCATGTGCAAGCGTTTTTGAGCCATTTGTTTATTTCACAAAAATATTACAAAAGGGAAAATTTTCATTTGATTAAAAGTGTTAATGTTTCAGTTATGATTTATTACCCTAACATATAACAATTATAACAATTATAATAATAATTATTATTATAACAATAATAATAATAAATATTATAACAATTATTATTATTATTATAACAATTATAATAATAATAATTATTATTCCTTTATTATTGGCAAGACTCAGGCCATAGGGCATTATTCATAGCATATTCATTGTTCTCGTTCTAATTATAAAACTTAAAAGATTACAATTTTTATTTACGGAAGCGGATATTCATACAACGAATTCGTTTTCAAATACCTTAGCATTTAAGATTTTTCTTCACTGTTTTATCGACGAATAATATGTTTTGCATCGTGATTCAATAGTGAAATTATTTCACAACTCCTCCACATTTTTCAACAATCGTCCGTACTTCTTACATTCTTTAAAACATCATTATGCACATTGTGGGCTAACCTGTTAATATTTTCTGATGTTGATTAATATTCCGAAACTTTCTAATTACCTTTCAGTAAATGTTTCGTTGCTCATTTACTCACACCATTGAATGAAGTGTCATCTTCCTTTAAAAGCAATGAGCGTCGATCATCACCATTGTTTCCCTAATGGTCAATCATGGTTTTAAGATTAATTGGTCATCTGTATTTTAAAATTGACTTCACTTATTCTGGTACTCTTTACACTATTAATTCTCTTCAGTCCTTTAATTTTCAAGCGAGGGAAGGTTCTAGGAAGAAGCACCTGCTATCCAGTATTTTTCTCAAACATATACGTTATGCATTCTTTTCTTATGTAATTTCACCAGTGGTTGGAAAATTATCGTGTGTTCTCGAGTTCTGTACGGACGAGCGGACTTAACTGAGAAGTTTTATACTATGAGTGTACTTCAATTAGACTATTTTCATAATAAAAGTCATAAATAGTATGAACATTATATTATAAAATGCTGAAAGACGTTTCTTTGTTAAGTGTTTCAGACACTGCATTGATTACAGCAGTTTACCTCTATGAAGAACTATTTATTTTCTGGAAGATTTGAAAATCATCTGCGGGAAGACGAAAACGCAAAATAAACGTGTGAATTTTTCTATTTTTGGTTTATAACTATCATATTATAAAACTCTATTAGACGGATTGAATCTAATAACTCGTGACTGGAATAGTAATAGGATGATATTTTGAATGCATTAACATTTAATATCAGCCTTGAAATCCATTAAACTATACTTAAAACACTGAGAGATAATGATAATATGAATATAATATAATATAATGAAGAAGCTTCAAAACAGATGCAATATTATTATGCAAAAACAACAACAAAAAAAGAACTTTGGAAATAAGCATTTAAATTCAATTGAGTAGCTTGATTTACTGTTGCAGCAATAATTTTCGTAAATTGTTTGAATCTGAAAGTGTTTCATAACCAGTAGTTACTAATTTTACATTCAACCTCACCTTGAACTCGACGCAAGGTAAGACTGGAAATTCATTTCATATCCAACGTCCTCGTTGTGATGAAGCAATGATCTTCTATTGTAAATGATAAATAATAATATGTAATATTCGTTCTCTTATCACGCGTTTGAAATATCAAGTATCTATTATCTTTCATCATAAATATGTTATAAAACATTTATGCAAGTCTTCAATAATTACTTACTTTGTAAATTCGTTTTTATATTGCTCTTCTTAATTAATGTAAATCACATTTTAATTTAAGTATCTCACTGGTGGCGCATTGATTCAGGTGTGCATTATACATTTAGTTTTTACTTCGGGCTCCAGACGAACAGTTAGTACGCAACATCGATAGTAAATGAAGATATCAGATAAAATAAGAAATGCAACGCCCCGGTCTAACGCAACATTCATATCTTATACGAAATAATTCGTATGTATAGAGCTAACAGCAATACTAATTCTACTGTGTACTCACGTAATAGCATTACAATGTGTTTGATGTCAAACCAAGATAGATACGCCCAAACTACCATGAACAACAGGCTTACAGGCAGCGCACGATCCTTCCTTTTAAAATCTCTTTCCAGTCGCATCCATTGGACCCGCTGTTTTTCTGATTCTCCATTCCCACGTGTCTCTCCCCATTCGAGTAGAAAGACTCCAACAGTACTGCGAGAATACAGATGTCAGTCATGGACTGTAGCAGAACTAAATTATAGTCTTATCTTTAATGTATCTACCACTAAAAACGCTTTTACAGAACAGAAGTAGTAAGTTTTTCTAGTACGAAAATCCGTACGTTACTGAATTGAGATAGGATCTCCTATCTCTTGTATTTTTCTTTGAAGATCATCCTTGGGATGCTTTGCTTATTTTATCCATATTAATTAAGACGTATATACGTAATTTTTATTTAGATTTACCGTTCGTGACATAAATTTATGAAAGCTTCACAAATGACTGACGAATGAATGCCTTGGCGACAAATTGAATCCCACGTGGTTCTAATCAAACTTCACCCATCCCCTTATAGCTCCTCTTGTACACGCAGTGAACAATGAACTCGATAGAACCAAAATCAGAGCAGGTTTTGACAAAGTAATGCTGGTAAGGTAGTGGTATTGTACGTTAGTGAGGCGATGATGACAGTAATGTAAATTTATTGAAACACACGAATGTGGGATGTACTCTACCACAATTTTTAAAAAATTTTAATTACATATTTGTTAAATAGGTTTGCTAACTGTGTGCCATCGGTTACGTCATTTAAACTATTTTTTCGAGCGTTGGCTTCCGAGTTGCTAGTGACATTTTTATTAGATACTTACTGTCTACATTGGTGCTCCTATTGATGACCATAATGATGCTGATGATGGTTGTGTGATGACAATAAATACATGGTAATAATGACGAAGTTAATACTGACGGTGATGATTAAAATGATAATGATGATAAAATGGCGATAATTTCGATGACGCTAGTGATGACGGCAGTGTTTGCGATGACGACGGCGTTAATGATAATTAGTGATAACCACAATGTGTGATAATTCTTGACGATCGGTGAACATGATGCTTATAATTGGTGATAATGATAACAGGTCATGGCGATTGACGATAATAAAGACAATTCTGATAGTGATACCGATGTTGATATGATAATGATGATGACGATCAGTGGTCCTAATGACGGTGCTAATGACGGCGCTAATGAGGGTGATAATGAGGGTGATAATGAAGGTGCTAATGACGGTGCTAATGACGGTGCTAATGACGGTAACGACAATGACGATGACGACAATGACGGTGGCGACAATGACGGTGGCGACAATGACGGTGGCGACAATGACGGTGGCGACAATGGGTGGCGATAATGACGCTGATAACGAATCTGATGTTCGCAGATGCAGTGCGGCTGCCCGTCGGCGCCCACGGGCCCCACGCTGGCCGCCACGTGCGGCGGCTCGGCCTTCATGCTGTTCATGGGGCTGCTGGAGGTGTTCATCCGGTCGCAGTGCGACCTGGAGGACCCGTGCGGGCGGCCGCGCGCGCGCCGCCGCCTCGACGACGCCTACGACTTCATCGTGGTGGGCGGCGGGTCGGCCGGCGCCGTGGTGGCCGCGCGCCTCTCCGAGGTGCCCCACTTCACCGTGCTGCTGGTGGAGGCCGGCCTCGACGAGCCCACCGGCGCGCAGGTCAGTGGCACTGATTCGTCCGGGCCCCTCAACTTCTGCTTTTCAGTTGGATTGATTCGTCCGGGCCCCTCAACTTCTGCTTTGTCAGTTGCATTGATTCGTCCGCGCCCATCAACTTCTACTTTTCAGTTGGATTGATTCGTTCGGGCCCCTCAACTTCTGCTTTTCAGTAGGATTGATTCGTCCGGGCTCCTTAACTTCTGCTTTTCAGTTGGATTGATTCGTTCGGGCCCCTCAACTTCTACTTTTCAGTTGGATTGATTCGTCCGGGCTACTCAACTTCTGCTTTTCAGTTGGATTGATTCGTCCGGTCCCCTCAACTTCCGCCTTCTCCCGTAATTGTAGTGAATACTTTTTGTCGTGGGAGGGGTAGTGTTTGTCCAGCAAAGGAATATTCCTTGAGAGAGAGGGGTTGTTCTGTGGGTGCTGATTGCGACGCAGTTTTATGCCTCCGCTGAACGAATGTCTGATAAGGCGTGACATATTAATAAATGACACTTCAGGTTGTTGAAAATACTGGTTACTAGTAATCTGCTAGTCTCGACATGGTTATTCGACGCTCCTGTGTTATAATGTAATTGATGACGAAGCTAATTTACAGATGTAGAATTCCCAATTACAATAGTTATGCAAACATTTTTCGCGTCTGATTTGATGTGATTATTTCGTGTTTCCGGGCTCGTCAACTCGTGTGGTCATAAGCCCAGTGTATATAGTGCCTATCTTATTCTTGGGATATTACAGTGTTCTTCCCCTGCTGAATGGGGAGATCCTAGGCCGACCTACTCACAGGCTTCTGAGGTTTTCCCCATCCAGGTATCGCCTACTAGTAGGCAACTTCCCCAGCCGCGACTAGCTCTAAGCTCACGACTAGTCTCCGCAAATGTGTGGTAGTTTATGGCATGTAAGTTTACATGCAAGTAAGTAACGAGTGAGGACAGGTCGAGAAAGAGGAAGGAAAGATCGCGAGCTATCCGTGGCTCTTTTGTTAGGGTATTGTTCCGGTATTCGTCTGATCTTGATCCGAGATACTATGAAAAATTACTGATCAGAACAGCCAGCCGCTAGAATACTCCACCAGCCAGCGGCTGAATTCGACCTAGCTACACAGCGAATCTCCATTAGAATATGTACAGTGATATCATTTGATGCCCTAAACCCACTCAGCCAATACAAGGCGTTTGAAGGAAATTAAGAAGGGTAAATGGTTGATTACCTGTTGGCCCTCCATTTCCAAAAGCGTCATTGAAGAGGTTATTTCTAAACTGATGCTAGTTACTTAGTAACTTCCATGTGTTGACTAGTTTTACGTAACAGAATATTTTTAAAACGCTTTTCCATCATTCTTCCAAAACATTATGGTAAATATTTCGTTTCTCCTGTATTAAACAGCATTCGAAAATTGTTGATCCCTATCTTGACGTATAGAGTTGAATGGGAATTATTAAATATTTTGTAACACAAACATTACAGCAAAATATTTTAGTAGATATATTATTATACTGAATTATTAATTGTATTACAGTATTGCTTGCAACACGTAGCACGTAAAATCATGAAATATACGAAATTATTGTCAGTAAGTTTCATAAACGACAGACATATTCTCTTTAAATGTTAGAAGATATTGAGTAATGAAATGAATAGGTATTGACTGATAAACTCTTGAAGTAAAGCAATTGTATTGAAACAGTTGAATCACTGATGGCCTGAGGGCGCAAGGAGAAGAGAGATTCCTCTGTTGGCTAATGACCATTTGTTTGGAAATTACGCCTCGCAATAGTCGGTCGTAATTATCAGCGGTTGCTTCGGGGCCGAAAACGATCTTGACCTCGTTTTAAAGAACTTTCAAAGCACAATACTTAATCCTTAATAAATGCAAATTACAGAGGAGTATCAACAGTTTTAAGAATTCTCTGAGAACAGTAGTTATGTCTTAATTCAGCATTAAAAACTTTATATTTCTATCTATCTAGCCTCCGGATTTTAATGTTCATGTAAATTATATACAGATAGGTTGTTTCCTTAAACAACGAATCTAAATCGGTGACTTCCAGTCGTGGCAATTAGCGCATCCTTGGCATTCTGGCAGCAACGTCTGAAAGTATTTCCCGTTTTATGCTTTGGGATTTTGTACGAAAAGAACAAAATATGCACATGTAATAAGACGCTCAAGCTATTATTTTCTTCCGAAAACGGAAGTACTTAACTTTCAATAGGAATCGAACAATATTACTCTTTTACAAAGTTAATTAACCTTGTGATTTTACTGATACATGTTTTTCATTTAAAAATGTATAAAAATGAATAAAAATGTATTTACTACGTCTACTTAAAGTATAATTCATCTAGTAGACATCAGTCAATTATTTATGTTTTAAAAACTGATGTGGCTCTTTTGCAATATCTTGAAATTCTCACAATTCATCCATTAAGTACCACACGTAAGCACATCACCAACAATAACAATACGTATGTAATAAGTGTCGATATTTTTAACAAATAAATATTTTTTACAAATTTCAGTTGGAGTCTCGTGTACAAATATTTTAATGGCGTTTTAATTTTTCAACTGAAGGAAGAATAAAACGTTTGTTATATAATAGCTTGTACTGAATTAAATGATAAGTTTTGAAATGATCGAAGGCTTTTGGTCTAGACATATATTATTACATAAAGTGTTTGATTTTTATCACAAGTAACCTAATAAGTAAAATCCGAAAATTAGAAAAGGACTATAATATATTTTGATCAAATTTACGTTTGAGAGTTTAGCCTACTTGTTTATCGTAACAGCCTAATAATGCATAACGTGTTATTATACAACCTTCCACAAATAAATTTTTCACTTTCAAGTTTTTACAGCTGCAAATACAATGCAACGTAATCGTCCAAGCACACAGGACTCCAAGAACCTCGTATGTGTTGCGCTATTGGATACTTGTAATGACGAAACAACGCCCAGAACCCTCATATATGGCACAGCAAATGTAACAGACCTCACTCACGCTTACATATGCACCTAAAAAAAACACTCGTAGTTTCCAGTTTTGAGCCCGGGTCTCAACATGCACACGCATTGTTGAAAGCCACTTCTGGGAACCTGGCGCCCCTCTTGCCCTATTGCACCACACACCCGCACCCACACTCCACTGCTGCCATACACGGCGCCGCGCCGGCGCGCTACGGCCCTGCTAGGAAGATCGGCAGGCGAGAGCCCATTTTGAAAGCGATTTCTATTCAAATATTTCCAAGTCATTTCACTAACAAATCTAATTCTAATAATAGTTATTTTTCAGTTTAACTGCAGTTCAAAATCTGGGCATATAATTTTTAAAAATATTTTAATATAACTTGTCATAAAATGGAGGCAGCAACTGCATAGTTGGCCTTTGTACCGAGTTTTTGTATTTAAAGAATAAATAAATAAATAATATTTGTATCCAAAAAGTTTTTTCTGTTTTAAACGATTGATGTATTGAAGAAGGGTTCCGGAATCGATTCCAGGACAATCCTGTGGCATTTGAAGTAGACAAAACGAGGTCTCGGCAGATTTTCTACGTCGTTTTTGCTACATGTCATTCCAATTATCTATCAATTACCTCTTCATTGTTCCTATCAAGTACTACTTAGTTCATCTTACTAGGACGTCCATGAAATTAGCAATTGAAAGGCCCTAAGCAATTTAAGCACACTAAATAAAATGAATAATAAACCGACAATTATATGTCTTGCGTACGTGCGAAGTATGTTCTATGCTACTGGATGCGTTTTGTCCTTGCATATTAAAGCGTCAATGAGTTTTAATGGCCGTCTTCATGGTGTTTTCCATCCATTTCTTGTAAAGATTATTCTCTCTTATGGCTCATCGCATTACTGACGATCATTTATTAGTGTACATACCTCTTGCACAACCTCCTTTTTGCAACTCATGAGAGCTTATGCATAATCATTCCAACTAGTTTCTCTCTGATTTATATTGTAGCGCCTCTTACAAGAGGCATTCCTGAGAACAGCCCTTGACTTCGAAGTATTTAATACTACTTTAACCTTACAGACTTCTATTCAGGCTTCGTATCCGTGTCCGCACTTGCACGTTTCACTGCCATTCAGTGATTCAAGAAAGCAATGCAATAAACGACTACTGCGTCTATATTCATTCCATCCTCTTAATCATCGTAATTGTAAATATACTGTGTTTAATAGTATATTGTATTTATTTTTCCTAATTTGGTTTTCAGTAAACTTTGCAGTTTTTATTTTACGTTTTCTCCTGAATACTTATTTATTTCAGTTACGAACATTATTTAAATAATACATATTATGCTATTAAGTTGAATATTTTTCTAAATTATAAAAATATCAACTCTATATTCACAGTAAGTTGAATAAACAATAAATTTCGTGTATTTTGCTACCACCTACAAAAATACTCTATAGCATTTCTTAATAAATGCTATTTGTACGTGTAGCGTCATCTCAAAAACATTATTTTAAATTACAATTGATGAGATACTTTTGCCAATGTGAGTGCCTGGTGTCCGTAGGTGCCATCCATGTTTCTGAACTTCATCGGCTCGTCCATTGACTGGGGCTACAACACGGAGCCCGAGGAAGGCGCCTGCCTCAACAGCCCCGAGCGGCGCTGCAACTGGCCCAGAGGGAAGGTAAGCGGCGCCGGCGCCTGTAAATACTCACAATTTCAATCATGTCTACGGATGAGAACCAGACTGTTCCAAGTCCATTGTACTAAATGTTTCAGGAGAGCTATTTAAAGTTTTTGTATGTAATGAGTAAGTATGGAATGGGTTAGTATGGAATGAGTCTGTTGCATGCTAAGGGAGTAGAATATTTATAATTTTGTTTAATGCAAACATGTAGACAGGGAGATGAAAGAAAAATGTAATTTTCTTACGAAATTGGACTTCAAACAGTCTGCTTCCCAACCATCGATATGTCTAACATATTCTTGCAACCGAAAAGTAAAGAACCTTACACTATTACTAATATATCTAGTTTCGTTGACTAGAGAAGTCCTGGCGTGCAAGAAATGGTTTCAATTGGATGATGAGAAATGTTGTGCATGCCCCACTCACCTTTACCCCCCACTCACTGTGTACGTTTACTATTAACGACCGTTTCGCAAATAGACATGTTTAATTTTATTTTAGCTTTTCGATTTGTATGGTTGAGGTTGTCTTCAAGTTAATCATATATTTAGGAAATCTTTTTTGAAATGTGGATAATTATAAAAATAACTAAAATCCAAGAATGACCATGATCCAGGAAATACATAACAATAAACCACGCAGAACAATTAAGGTGGCAATAAGTACTTGGCTATCCGAGACACGCCGCATCCTAGGCAAAGGTGCCAACACTTCAGCCGTCACTCTGCGACCTTCCTCAGGGCGAAAGTCGCAGTATGGCATCCGAAACGTTGTCACCTGTGCCTAGGACTCGGCGTCCCCGGACAGCCAAGTAGTGACTGCCTTCTACGCCCCCAATGATGGTGATGATGGTGGTGATGGTGATGATGATGGTGGTGGTGGTGATGATGATGATGATGGTGATGATGATGGTGGTCGTGGTGGTGATGGTGGTGATGGTGATAATGATTATGGTTATGGTGATGATGGTGATGGTGATGATGATGATGATGATGATGGTGATGGTGATAATGGTGATGTTGATGATGGTGGTTTTGGTGATGGTGATGATGATGGTGATGATGTCGTGGTGCGCAGGTGCTGGGCGGCACGAGCACCATGAACGGCATGATGTACATGCGCGGCAGCCGCGCCGACTTCGACGGGTGGGCGGCGCGCGGCAACAGCGGCTGGAGCTACGAGGAGGTGCTGCCCTTCTTCATCAAGTCGGAGGACAACCTGCAGCCCGGGCTGGCCGACAACGGCTTCCACGGCCAGGGCGGCCCGCTCACCGTCACGCAGTTCCCCTACCACCCGCCGCTCTCGCACGCCATCATTCAGGTGACGCCCGCCTTCTCTTTGGCTTTCGCCCCGCCGCGCAGGCGCTCGCCCGTTTGCCACGGCCTCGCAGCCGGACATAAGCTCCCCCCCTCGCTTGTCCTCGTGCTTGTTCCCAGGCCCGTCCCCACGCGTGTCCCCACGGATGTCCCCACGCGCGACCCCACGCTTTTCCCACGTATGTCCCCATTCATTTTCCCACGAATATCCCCTAGGATTCCCCCACACTTGCCCCCACTTGTCCTCATACTTGTCCCCCACTTTTCCGCCAACGAGGAGAGATAGGCTGAGCCTCGCCTCATAAAAATAAGTCATAAAATTAATTCATTGAAGCTGCCGTGGTTTTTGTAAAACCTCTGTCGAAATGACGTTCTCCCAATTTTGCAATAAGTACGCCTGTAATTTACTTATTTTATTTTTTTGGTTAAGATTGGTTTTATTTCTTGGCTAACTGTTTAAATAAGTTTTCTTTTTTTTTACCAGATGCGAAATATTGAAACTCTTTAATATCGGTTTTGTCCCCTAATTGTGGGAGAAATGTACAATCTAAGAATATCAATTGCTGAAATTCATAACTGATTCTGAATTTTTCATTGACCAAAACTTGCAATTTATGTTTTACTGACTTACTTTTTTCTGCGTTTTATTATGTTAACCGACTTATTCGTGATTTTTAATTTAAAAATACAGGAAACGTACAATTTAGAATAAATGCCATTAAGATAAATGAGAAGAGAATATCATCGCATTGCCTCAATAATTGTGTTAGTGAAGTGATATGACTCAGTTCACTTTCACTTCAACGCGAAATGTCTATGCCAATCCTCCTGAAATGCTGGTGGGCAGCACAGACATTTGTAATGAGGCTGTTAATTTTCTTCCCGCAAAGAAGCCTTAAATAACAATGGCAAGTAATGTTAACTAAATTACCAGGCATCTTAAATTTCGCTGTACCATCACTCATACGGCACAAAAACCCTAGCGCTTTGGCAGCAGTACGTGCTTTTCACTCGCTGATTATCCATCAAAGATTTGGTCTTTTGTAGCACCTCTGAGGAGATGAAGAAATGATGAAATAATGAAGAAAACACAAGATTATAAATTACTTTTTCAAAACAAGAAGCTTTAAAGTAAGAGCATTTCTCGGTTTTATTTCGTGTTAATAAACCGAATAAATGTTTCCGGCACCTGTTCTTGACTGATATTTATGTTCGTGAAACACTAGTTTTGAGGCTAATCAATAGGCATGGGTAAAACGTTGCCAGATTTGTCAAATAAGCAAATGGAAAATGCATACCAAGAAAATATATTCTGACAAATATACCTGGTTATCATCTTTAAGAAGGCATCTTTTCAAATATTAATTCAATGTTTCGGCCAGCTTTTAAAGCACTATGTGGAGGTTAATTTTGAAACACAAAATTTTAACGATTTCAAAAATAATTTTTTATTGTAAAAATTTGGTTTTATAATGGTATTCTAACATCTTAAATAAACCTATTTACATTTTTATGAATCAAAATGGTCTAATAATTGATGTTCCTTCTTCGGTATAGGATTTATTAGTTATTTTATTATTATTATTTATTGATTATTATTATTAATTATTATTATTATCATCAAAATTGGGCATTAAATTTTGGCAAAATTACCAGATTGGAACTACATTTTTTAGTTCGTATCCACTTAATCAAATTGACCATACCTATAAGTAATATCAAAGGTAATTAACATTCCTAACATCTAGGGTAAAAATATCGTTAAGGTGGATCCAGTAAGCATCGCGCTTGCGTTGAGCGTTTTGGCACATGCGCGAGCAAAGCAGAAGTTAGCCTTCCATATTATGCTTGTAGTGGAATAATGCCATAGCCGACTAAACGCGTACTTACTGCGCCGGCTCAGGATAGTCAACCCCGATATATTTTTTGAAAGAAATTATATCCACTAGTTTAAAAAATGTTGATTCAGCAGATACGAAAAAAAGGAGTTTCATTCAAATATTAAAGCACGAGTTATCCAAAATTGTCTCGATATCAGGAACTAAAATACTCATTTTCTGGCTAAGAAATCGCCTGTTGTTTGCTTGCAGAATATACAACTTGCTTGTATACTGGGCGATATGTATGTGTTCGAGAAAGCAAAATAGATTTATTTATTTTCTAAAATATCCGCCAACAATGTAGACAAAGTAATAATTTTTAACATATATATATTGTTATTTAATATGCAATTACGAAATTTTGTAAATCGAAGGGTTCTAAGTTTTATTTTTATATTGATCTTGGTTACATGTGCTTAAATATTACATAACCGCCACCTCCTGCAATAAGCATACATTACACTTACGGGTCTTAATGACCATAGCAGATATCACGCACGAATCAATAAATCGAATTTACTATCAATCAATATTTCAATATTTGATCGATTATAGTTGAATTGATTGTCCCAATTGTCAATAATTGAATGTCCATATGTCGACACGCTGCCAAATCATCAAATCATTTATGAATCAATATTTCAATATTTGATTGATATATTTGATTGCTTGTCGCCAATGGCCAATAATTGGATGTCCATCTGTTGGACACGCTTGCAGACGTAACCTCGTTCCTGGCCGTGCACGACGAGAGGTCGCCGGTGTCGCCGCGCCGGCATGGCTCACGCCGCACCGCGCGCCGGCCGTTCGCGTTGAGCAGCACGCGCGTGCACCGTGGCGTTTGAGCAGCAGCGTGCAGGTTGGGCGCGCGACGCCGCGACGCCGCAGGAAAGGCCGCGCGCGCTGCTCAGGCTGCTGCCGTTGCGCGTTGGTCGTCTGCGCGATCGGCGAAGCGCGTGTGGCGGCGCGCCTTCACGTGCCCGCACCGGGTGGCCCAGCTGCGCGCGCGCGCCTAGGGGGCACGGAAGCGCGCTCAGTTATTACACGAGCTCATACATATCACAACACGTAACTAAGCTGCACACGCACAAAAGCCCGTTCCTATAACTATACTTGCAATATTTTAACACGAGCTCAATACTTAGTGCAATTAAGAAGCTACACACGTAGCCAACAAACAACCCGCTATAACTATACTTTTCAATATGTTTAACCACGAGCTCAATACTTAGTGCAACAACTTAAGCTCAACACGTTAACCACAAAACCCATTTATAACTGTAGCTTTCAATATTTTAAGCACGAGCTTCAATACTTAGTACAAACTACTAAGTTTCATCACGTACTACAACAACCCATTCTATAACTATACTTCAATATTTTTAACAACGAGTTAATTACTTAGTACAACTACGCTTGCAGAGCTAAGCTCAACACGAACAGAATAAACCCATTCTATAACTGGTACTTTCAATATTTTACACACGAGACTCAATACTACAACACGTACTAAGCTCACCGCGCACCAAACAACAGCGTTCTATAACTATACTTCAATATTTTAATCTTAGTACAACTACTACTTCTACACGACACACAACCCATTCTATTAACTATACTTCAATATTTTAAACACTTAATTTTTTTTTAAATACCAATACAGCCACTGGTTTTGGGATTTCGGCACCAGTGTTTGATTATGTCTAATCCACCAAGCTTACTTTCAAATTACACACATAAGAACTCCCGGACTAATTTATTGAACCATAATCATACAGTGTTCATATAAAATCTCTCTCCTTCCGGTCGAATTAAACAATTAATTTTCATCTCCCTCAAACAATCTTTTGCTGGATCCCGCAAAGCGTCCGCCGCTCTCCTCCCACATTTGTTTTAACCATGTTCATGTCTGATATACCCCGTTCGAGACTAAAACACAACGGCGCATTATGCTGTTCATGTGTACATATCCCGTTGTACGTCAGCCTGCATGCGTTTGCTCAGAACCAGCATTGCGCTTGAAACGATGCCAGCGATTCTCATCAGGCGGTCCTGTATTTTCGTCGCAGCTGCCTTTTCTACAACTATGTTCGGGTTCAGCGCTTGGCTGGGGGAGAGATTAGCCACATAAGCTGCTCCTGGTCGGTAGTTTTTGCTGTAGTTGTCCCCCGTCAAGGTCCAGGCGAATGTTGGACCCGTAAAAACCCGGTCACGGACACAGCGCGCGATCTTTCATTTCCAATCCTTGTCCCCTTCTCCTTTACGCAGGCACACGAAGGCCACCAATGTCTCCCTCACGCGGTCTAAGCCAGTCGGGAGCTTTAGAGTTTGTCGCGGAGGGAGTTTTATTGGAGGAGAAATCCCGACAATGCGACGTGAAGGTGGCGCCGGGTTTCACATCCCAGTGGCGAAGGAACACCGCAAAGGCCCTGGGATATATAACGTCCACTACACTTATTAGGACTATGGATTAATAAAGTTGAGGTGTCGGAAACATCAGAAATCTAGCCTTACATTTTCTAACTTGGTGGCCTGCGATTTTCGTAGTACTTAGTGCCTTACTGCCTTACTACGCTTAAGTGTTTCTCCCATGGCTTGACGGTTATACTTCAGGTAGAGCCTCTGTGGCACATGTAGAGGAATGCATAGACAAGGAGTGTGTAGAGTTAACATGAGTGGATGAAGAACGTATTTTTTAGAACGTCCGCGCAGTTCGAGGTGGACGAGTCAAAGACAAAAAGAATGTTAAGTGAGATCCCGTGAACAATAATTAGTGCTAGTTTACAAACATGAGGCTTTGTTTTGTTTGTCTCCGGGAAGGAGGGTAGATGAAAGGACTGAAGATTATTTCCAAAACGGCCGTAATAAAGATGTTCGGGTTTGAATATTTGAGCTTTTCAGAAAGTTGAGATAGAGGAGAATTAACTTGCCTTGATAAGAAAACACACGGCAGTGAACACTGAAATAATTAATGTTCCTGCCCGAAAATACGTCGTTTTCCAGCACAAGCCATTATATATGTTTTTTTCCTTTTTGGAAGTAGACTTCGTAAAGAAGAGAAAGTAAAAAGATTTCTAAAGTGTTCGTAAATAAACAAGTGGATGTATTAAAAAATTAAAAGCTAAGATGTATCCCTTTCCATCGCGCAATTCCTCGGCAAAGCTTCGATTCTTTGGCCTCCGCTATTTAAAATAAGCAACACTGAGGTTTCTTGCTACGGCAGATTTCACCGCAAATTATATTGTACACTATAAGCCACAATTATAAACTCTAAATTGCAAAAAATTGTTAGCAGTCAGGTCAGATTTCGACTTCCAGCCTTCATTATATAACACTTTTTAAGTTGCGTGAGACGATTGTGTTTATTCATTTAAGAATATAAACACGTAATTTTGCTAGTACTTCTCTGCAAATTGGTCTACTAAGAGTAATGTACCAGTAACTTATTTTTTAAAAAATATTTCGTGTTTCCTTGTTTTAAAAATCTCGTTCTTAGAATTTAGAGTGCTAAGGCGGAAGTCGAATAACTCTCTACTCTTGGTAATGTGATGTCTCGTGGACACGGGAAGATGTTTATAAAAATCGGTTTAAATACCAGCTCATTCTTAATAGAAGTCTCGTAATAAACTTGTGCATCATAGCTATACCGTTTCTATTTTACACAATAATCGCTCAGATATTAGTTTTTTTCGGAACTTCAATTATAATTTGAATATTCCTGCAAGGTTACCTACGTTTGGTACTTATCCCGATCATTATGGCCAAGCATATATAAACCTATCTGGTTTTTATGGGAATAGCGTAATATTTAATTTACAACATTATGCAATGAAACTAAATATTCCACAATGGTTTTTTCTTCATTAAAACAATTCTGAGTGTAACATTTCTGGCAGTTTTTTAGTTTTATCAAGGTTACGCCGTGTAGTGATTATTCGCACTTCTTTGCGCTTAACATAAATCATTTCCGAAGTACAGAATGACGTCTAACTTTAAGCTATAAATTTCTTTGCGAGTCTCATTAGTTCAGGAATGAGGGCATTGTTGAAGAAACGAAATCATTTTCCATCTCACAGGATAGAGAATGTGAAAGAGCTTTACGAGAAAACATGGTGACGTTTATTGAAGTTTGTGAACGGAAACAAATGCAGCCAAACATAATTTTTAATTATATTTATCAAAATATGCTCTTTGAAAGTTGCTTGGGTACTTGCTTGTCATCTTAAACGTGTACTTAGTATGGGCTGATGCCATTGGCATGATACATTGTCCATGGCCATATGTGAGGAAAGTCGGATAAACTATTATAATTTTTTATCCCTGCCGACCAGTACCCTCTAATACTGTGGTTAATTTGCTTAATGAAATTTTCCTTTGTGTGTTTGATAGTATTACATTTCGCAGCGAAATATTTTTATAAAGTTAATTTAAAGACTTGGAAATTGAGCATGCAATCCCTTGACTGTTCCCGTTACTTAGGAATACATAGTTTTAAACTACGTTGTAAATATTAATCAGTAGCATTTTGATGATATTTTACAGCAACAGCAGTCTACAAACGCAATTAACGCATTCGTGTTATTGGTTAACAAGATAGCCGCAGAGCAAATAATGAGCTGAATGTCCAGAGAATGTCGCAAGATTATAAACATGACTGAAGTAAAGAAGGGTGGATGAGAGAAGGGGCGCGACTAGAGGCGGGAGGGGAAACAATGGGGGAAGGGGGACCGGAGAGGGGAGTAAAGAAGCCGAAAAGGGCGGCAGCGTGACGGGGTTGCAGGGGTGGAGGCGGGAGCCAGGGTGAGAGTGGAAAAGAAGATGGCGGACCGGAATGGAAACGGTGGTGACGGGCGTAGGGGGTACTGGGCGTAAGGACGACGGGCATTGGGCGACTGGTCTGGCCGAAAGCGACGGAGAATGTTGGGACACGTATACGAAAGTTGGACAAGTGTGTAGGAAAGTGTGAGGCCAAGTGTTGGGGACAAGTATGTGGACAAGTGTGGGGGCAAGTGAGGACAGAGTGGCG